AATAGAAATGGAAGAAGATTGAAAAAGCAAGAACAATTAACACAGAAAATGAAACGATAGGAAACCAATAACATAGAACGGAAAATGCGAAATACAATATAGGAAGCGAAAAATGGAAGCAATAAACAAACAAACAATTGTATAAATGGGCATGAACAGTTGAAATGCAAGATGAAATAATAGGAATGTAATAATATAACAACAAAATGTGAAATACAGTGAACAAAGCAACGGAATGCAAAGTCATATACGATACATCAAATAAAAGTATACAAAAAGCGCAGAAGTGGAAATATAAAAAAACAGCCTAGATAAAAGAAAACACAAATAAAATAAAAGTGAAAAAGAGAAAAGTTTACACATAAAACTAAGGTGAGCAATCAAAAGTTCAAAGGAAGGATTTCATTGATGATTTGAGTTATCTTGCTGACCCCTGCAATCGACGTCATGAATATCTAGATAAAGTCCTTGCTGTAAAACACACCGTAAAGGAGGACCTTCAATCGTTCTTGTGGCTAACAAACATAAAGAAGTGTGTCAAATCAAGACCCTCCTTCCACTCCGAAATTGCGCGTTGGGCTCCGCCTTTGAACTATGGCTATTGTCATCGCCACAACGCCGAACTCTGTAGACTTGCCTGGTAAATCAAACTGAATGTGAGAAAGGTTGTGCAGAAGAAGCAGGTAACAATGACGTAATGAAGAGAATGCATGGTCATACGAACGCTGCAGCCTCAGTCTATAGCTTCTCATAACTGTAGCACTAGATGTCTCCACTTCTTGTTTTCACCGGTGGGACCGAACTCCTTGCTTGCAGCCATCTAAAGGCCTAACAAGCTTTTTGAACTTTACACAAAAACACTCGCGAATTTGAAATCTAGCCACTTACTAAAAATTAAAAAGAAACGAGAACAATGAATTAACTGAAATAGATGCCCTATTTCGCATTTTTCTTAAACGCTGGTCCTTCAAATAGGACTAACCCTTCAGCTCGCTTAACTGTTTTGTTAAGCGTTGCATCCACTACTATATTTACTTACGCGTTCGACTTCTGTACATGGTAGCCAGCCTGTCAACAAAACGAAGAACTTTCGGGTCAAATCCTCTTCTTCGCTTCCTACACACTGATTTCGGCGGGCACCCTGTTTGATCGTGTATTTGATGTTCTGCGCAAGAAAATCGGTGAATGGTATTCTGAAGGCGCTGTGTTAGAGTGTTTCGAGCGTGCAGCGGAGGCAAACAAGCGCATCAAGTCACGTCACACGTGAGACATGAGCGCTGTCTGCCAGTTATTTTGGAAAACGAAACGCGTGGCTTTGAGACAGGTGTGTGCACCCGTCTCAGAGGGAATAAGGTGTAGAACGCAAGGCGAAGGGTAGATGCCACCACCGCCTCGTCTTAACAAAGCGTTGGAAACACTCGCCTTTTCGTGCGAGCGTTGCATGGTCCGCGCAGCGTGATAAGCGCTATGGTCCTTAGAATTACTTATGCATGCCTTTTCTACTAAAATACGCACATGCAGAATATATACGTGTTGTTATGGTGCCCCAGACATGCGCAATAATTGCTTTTAATGGGGTTGGCTGTTTCAAAAACCCGGTGCCGTTAAGAGTACACAAACAGAGAATTGTACACACAGACAGGCAGACAGACCACAATTTTTGCGTCGAAGGTCCCCAAGAAAGACTATCGTCTTTAAAAGAAAGACATGAAAGAGCGGTTGCAACAGATGCAAGAATTGCGTGTCAACGTGCCATTGGTGCCATTGGTTTTGTTGCATAATTGTGAATTCCAACTTTTAGATCTAGATGTGCTTTAGATGGCTTTGTTACGAAGTGCCTGTAAATTTTTATTTGTGTTTTTTTTCTTTGAGCTAGTCGAAGGTTCCTTTTTTGATTGCGTTGTTTTTGTCTCTTCATTTTAATTCTCAGTTCCAACTTTGCGGTATACGTATTTCAGTTAAGGATGCACAAACTGGCCCAACATAACGTAGACTGTTGCTTTGGCAGAATTTTTCCAGTAAAATTTAGGTTAATAATGCGACAGCAATTACATGGACACTCTCGCGGTCTCGTCATGTCCCGTATATATATATATATATATATATATATATATATATATATATATATATATATATATATATACGGGACATGACGAGACCGCGAGAGTGTCCATGTAATTGCTGTCGCATTATTAACCTAAATTTTACTGGAAAAATTCGTCATGTCCCGTAAATATATATATATATATATATATATATATATATATATATATATATATATATATATATATATATATATATATATATATATATATATATATATATGACAACTAAAAAGACTTCCAAAATGTTTTTTTCTAAGCGAGGGACTCCTCTCCGCTGCACGCTGCCTGAGACAATCACGCCGATCGCTGTTTCTTCTCCAAGATGTCTGAGTCCAAACGCACTGGTGAAACGCACGGGAAGCCGCACCCAGCGAAATCAAAATTACCCGAGATAAGGGTCATGCTCCTCGTTACCTGTGCTACGTTTTCGCCTTATCAGGGGGGTGGGTTGTGATTTTTAAATAGGAAAAATGAAAAGACAAGTGGGCCCAGGGGTGGAAACAAAATGAATCTTGCCTTCGAGTTGTCTTAGGCGTATGCATATATGCATACGCCTAATCTCACAGAGTACCTTATAAGGTATTCTGTGAGATTTTTTTTTGTGCACTGCTTTCTAAAGGACACGGTAAGGCTTTTTTGAAGTATAGACAGAATGCCCTAGCCACATAAAATATTGTGGCAAAGTAAGAATGAAGTTTGTTAAATTTTGTAGTTTCAGCACAGCGATGAGGGCTGGAGGTGGTTGGCTTTCTGAGACTAGCTGAGTGACTTCATGTTACGCCCGGCAGTCTAATCAGTTGGGAAGAAAAATAACCTTTTTTTCATTCTTGGTGTCATCCTAGGGAAGTGCACTCTAGACTGTGCGAGTGTAGCGTTGCACATCACATCGTTTGTCTGCCATATCTGCTGATAAGCACATAGCTGTATTTATAAAATTATATCGTGAAGTACAATTTTATTCAACCAATATTCTGTTTTTTGATACAGAAATAATCACTAAACAAGTTTTTCCAGAATGCTAAACAACAAGACGCCATTATTTTTGCATCATCAACTGAAATAGGGAGTGCTTCTAAGATGATTGAATCCGTGAAATTCGCAATGAATCTAAGTATTTCTAGCTCTTCACACGAGCCTCAGAATAGTTTTTAATGTTTTTGAATGTAAATGGATCTTTATTCTCTTCCACTATTTGCAGTGAGCTATTCCAGATTGCTCCAAAATGGAAACTTTTGCTGCTCCAAAGTGCCCTCAAATGAAAATTTTACTGTTCCGAAAATTGCTCGAAATCAGAAGGCCTTGGTGGCATTAATTTTTTTTCATTCGCTTGAGGTCTAATAGCTGTCCGAAACGCCGCTTACGTTTTTTTTTCTTTGGGTTGCTGCGCTTTGACCTTTGATGTAGTAAGATTTAGTATATATGACTGGGGCAAGCCTTGCCCTAGTCATATATAGCCTGGTTGCTTGATCAGCATTGCATGCTTAATAAAAACCACTGAAACGTTAATGGGTTTACGAGAAAGTGAGAATTCTAACTAAAAGTTAAGTAAGACCCTAGAAATCTGCTCTAAAACTAAACTTTGATGCTCCAAAACACACCTTTTGTTGCTCCAGAGCTGCTCCAAAACTTCTTTTCACTGCTCCACAGCTGCTCCAAAACCGCATTATTCCTGCTTTCGAAGTTGCTCCAACAGATTGAAGCCCGCCTCCACCCCTGTGGGCCCCGCCACTAACTATCTGCAGCAGAGCACGAGCTATATACTTGAGCGAGACGGCTAAACTAGAATCACCATATATATTTTACATTGTGACCGGAATTGACGCCAGTAGGAAACGCGAACCGTGTCTTTACTTGCCACTTAAAAACCTCGCCATTATTTTTTTTCTTGATGTCACGCACTCTAAATATTTTTTCACCGCCTAAAGAAGCGCGATACAGAGATTTGGGACTACAAAAGCGTTAGATTTATATAGCTCTTTGGACCAGAAAGTGGCTTGGGTTCTGCGCATGTGCCCTGGTAGCTGGCGAATTTTTCGGGTCTTCCAGCTATCAACTTCTTAACCTCTAGTGTTTCACTGGAGTTTAGACGAGCGCCTCTGACTTGTGCTTTGAGATACAGGGCTAGGTAGCCCGTTCACGCGCTTGAGGGGCAGTTTCGTACGTCTCCTACGTTCACCACAAAGTTTGCGTTAAAGCTATAAACCACATAAAGGTCACTATACTCGCTGCAGCGGCCGCATTTGAAAGGAGTCAACTGCCAGCTTGAAGAGCCACAGTAGGGGCCAGTTGAAGGAACAACTGTGACAGTTTTCGCTCGTCCTGTATATATAGCTGTGTGTTCTTTTCGTGCGTCCTTCTTGTGCTTGAACAGTGTGCTGCAAGTGTCAAGCCATGTTCGAAATTGCCCCGTGTGTGTTTTTTTTCTCGTTTGACCCATGTCCTTGAGGAGTGCGCAGAAAGTTTCTGGCTGCCTGCAGTTCTTCCTGTGACATTTCGATTTCTTGCTGTCGCATTCAGTGCTTCGCCCTTAAGACCAAACTGTGCTTATTTTTTCCGCGACCCCGTAGCAGTTACAGTGTATGTCCCCAAAGCATAAAGTATAGCGGTTTCTTCTTGTCTGAGAAGATAAAGTTACTTCTGATTTCTGAAACCTACAGAAACGTATTGATTGATATGTGGTGTTTAACGTCCTAAAACCACCATATGATTATGAGAGACGTCGTAGTGGAAGGCTCCGGAAACTTTGACCACCTGGGGTGTACAGGAACGTATACTCTGTGTTCATAATCGATAGGCTCCGTCGAAGTGCTTTGAACTGGGCACGCCCGCCTATGACTATAGAGTATTCTTTGCTATAGGCTTGTTTTCGCGCCATTCAATCAGCAAAACACAGTATTAAACAAAGTTTCAAATGCAGTTTTATTACATTTTTGCACGTTCAACAATGGTTAGCTCCAAAGGTTCACTAACGTGAACGTTGGGATGTTCATTGCGAATACAATGACGAATGCATTTGACAATTCAGAAAAATCTATGGCAATCTAACAAAAGTTTCGCACTTATCAGCGTACTGAAAAATCCTTATAATGTGAATACCCCAAAGTTTTCGAAACCTCATCTTTGTAGCATCTAGTGGTCTCACCACGAATTGATGCAAGTAAAACATGCCCTAGAGGCGTCCAGAAGAAAATTGCATGATGGGAAAAGGCAATCTCCAGTTGCGTAGCGCTGAAGCATCACGCTTGCTCGTCGGGAGAGGAAAACAAGCCGTAAGCGGGATACAATGAATAGGCACAGGAGCTTAAAAATCAAGTCAATAGTACTGTACTGCCGCCTTCTTTAGGTGCCCGTGATTTTCACCGTGGCACGGTTTATAATGAATCTCAACCAACTAGCCCTCCTCGCCATCTTGCGTGTGACATCATAATGATGTCAAGAACAAGTGGGTGGTGTAATACGTTGCTTCACAGCTGCGTGAAGTTATTTGTGCTTGGAGCTACAACACAGCCATAGTGAACCAGCGAGACCCAATTCATCGTGCAAGATAATACACAGGTGGCCTCCTGCCACGCAACTTCTGGTGTCGAACAAATAATGAATGAACTAATGACGTGTTCTACTATATGTGGCATCGGCAATTTTATGCCTTTTCGAGTTACGAGGCACTGCATTTTGTCAACGAACCGGATGATGCACAGCAATTAATACAGGTAGCAATAAATAAACACAAACAATAGAAAGAATGAAGCAGACTAATTTCTTGCACGCGAATGAATGCAAAAAGACGAGCTGATTTCTTACATCGGTGCTTGAAAGAAAGCTTACACCTGACGAAATGGCGTGAAATATAAAAACATGTTTAGAGGAAAAACGACAACCGTGCTTTTATTCGGTTTTCTTCTCGGCTTATCCCCGGTTTATGCGCCGTGGTTTTTTCTCCATCTTTCATTTGTACAAGCATGTAAGCTTAGGCTTTGCTTTTACGTCACGATTTCCGTACAATGTTTTGTAAGCATGATATCAGTATGCTGATGTGATGTAAGCAAACAGAATGTTTGCCTGCAGCTCGTACCACCGTCTTGATTCGAAAAAGAGTAAAAAAAAATCATGAGTATTACGAGCTAGAAGAATAAATGATACATCGTTGCTGGGCGTAAAATACCGTTGCAACATTGACGCTAATTGCTATAAAGAACATCTGCCTTTTTCACCACCGTTTCATCTTACAGCCTAATTTGCCCTTGCAAACCTGATAACCAACGCTTCTCATGATCACTTTTATAGACTAGTAAATACTAAAACAAATTCACGGAAATGTGCAACGGCGTGAGATAAAAATTGCTAGGTGATCGTGCCAGCTGCGATTCAACAAGGCTGCCTCCTGCAGCATCGTGACACACTTTGTAGGGAAAAATAAAGACGTTTATCTGCTGCGTTAGCTGAATGGAAGAAGAAAATCATAGTAGCATTAGTGCTTTCCGTACAGAGGGAAAGCTCAAATGAAATCGCTTTTCTTTTTGCTTTTTGAAAGAAGAGCGGCTGATGCGACCGTACTCGCGAAGTGAAACGGAGTGCCCCAATAACTTGCTGACGTAATCACATGTCACAGGGGGAGTTGAAGCTATGGCGTGTTCATGGGACACCGTAAGGCACAGCAATGGACGCCTAGTTTCCGCTGCGTCAGATCACGCCTCACTTTCGTCCATGTGCTCGCATTCACTTCACGACGCCCCGTTCTGCCTCCTGGTGGTGGGCCGGCCAGGAGCAGCGGGCATGGGCAAGCGTCTCCGCAGCATGGTGGAGTGTGCCCTCCGCAGGAGTGATGTCACTGCTCGTCTTTACTGTAGCCTTTCGGTTAGCCATGGCAAGAACTCGGTCAATCTTGTGTAGACTCCAGGATAGCCGACCGTCGCACAGCGCTTGCCGAACGACACGACGCCGATGAGGAAGAACCGGCCATCGTCCGGCAACACCAGCGGACCTCCGGAGTCACCCTGTGGGAAGCGCGAGCACCGAAATTATTCGCTCAAGCTTGTAGTGTGATGTGAACAGCTGAAAGTTTACACCGACAACGCCACCGGACTTAGACGTGAAGAACGCACGGTGGCAGTAGTAGTTGTTTCTGTTTGTGTTGCAAGACAGTTTATGTCTTCCGCAGTAGTAGATTGCTTAAATGTAGAAAATGGTGAAAAGTGGCTACGCAGTCACTGACCCCAGGGAGCATTTTTTTTATGTCGCGTGTCCATCCCTGTACGGTTCCCCGGTTAGACTATACTCGGCATTTGCTTCGTTCTATGTGGCTTCCCAGGAAGTGATGTGTAGTGGAAGCTTCGTTTTACATAACCGTGTTACCACTCCTCTGCACGGCCCACTATATTGTCTATGGACCGATTCATACATTTCAAGGTAGTCGTCCAGGATTTCAATAACCGAAAGTAACACTCGTGTTTCGAATTATGTACGAAATACAAAGCAGATGTGATGCCAGAAACGAGTGAGGTCAGCTCTTTCCAACCATAAATTTTTGTATGTAACACTTTGACATGGACAGACAATGAGCATAACGTTAATCATGGATTTAGATAAACTAGAATTGCAGTTCGTATCAAATATTCGAAAGGACTACGGTTTTGGAAATGTTTAACGGAGCAGAATAAGCCCTATACCCACCATGCACTTTAGGCGAAGTTTATGTGCCTTTTTCTCCATAACCATAAGATCTAAATAAATTATGTTACTATCATTATGATCATGAGCCACTCCTCTTATAACTGAAGCGTTCTTATAACTGAAAATTGTAATGCTAATTTAACATTTTTTTTACTTCAGGTACCAAATTATCACTCGCTTATAGCGATTGGATGTCGTGTTGCAAAAGAGCACTTCCTGACACAACAATAATTCTGCTTCAGTATATTCCCATTAAGTTATCTGGCCGTTATATAGTACTCTATATACTACGGTTGCTGAGAAAAACGAACATAAGTACAAAAAAAGAATGTTTTGAGATCATTGCATTTAAAGTTGAAAATCTGCATTACGTATTTCAAAAATACTACGATATATCAGCAAATTAACGTACCCGCTCAAAAGGCACCAGCAAGATGCTCATCCGCAATATCATTTATTTTTTTGCTTTTGTGTGATATCGTCTTGCCTGGCGAGCCTCAATCGTCACCTGCTATGCAGCCATGTCAGCACAGAACTGTCGACGCAATTCGAGCGTGCGTAGGCCCTGCACTGTGCAGTGCCCTGGTGAAATTTTAAAATAGTTCAGAACTTTCACGAATGCTATATTTCCATCATTAAATGGGAACACAGCATCGAGAGTGCGTATTTCCAGTGTTTAATGCCCAAGGAAAACGTTTTTTTTTTTTAGAGCGTGCTCCCATGTGACAATCCAACCACTCGTTATGGTTTTGCGTGTTCCCATGGAGGCATTTAGCAAGTACTTCTGCATGAGCTTCTTCGGGATCGTTTGGCTTAAAAGCCACAGTAAGAGATGCATGAAGATCTGTGTGAACAAATGGTTCAACATTGAACTGGGGTTTGTTGAATTTACACCAAATTGCGACGGCCTTCGAGCAATGGTCGTGAGATAGATTTGTATCCTTTGATGCCATGTGAAAATATGCGAACCGAATAGCTTTTCGCATGTCCTCCAAGCTGGCTCTATTTATTTTAATGACACAATAATTATAATTTTGGTGCTTGCCAATGATGACATCACTAAGACGTCTCCGACCAGATATAGAATTTCCTACAGAAAGCTTGATGCCTCTGCTTTCTTTCGTTTTCGCAGCCCTGGGCCCATTCTTTTCTTAATGTGCCGAATGCACTGCAGCTTGCAAACTATAACTTCTCTATAAGGTTATGATACTTGAACTGCAAGGGATCCTTTGCTACGTAAGAATTGGAACATGGCAAGCCGCCACACAAGTTTTGCAATATGTCATTTTTCGAAACAAAAAAAAACCGCACCAAGACAAAGAAACGACTCAATCTGATTCAAAACAGGCTGCAGATTTCAAACAAAAACAAGACATAAAAATATTTTCTTTAATATTTTTGTTTACCCTGTCCTCTTAAAACATAGAAACAACACTCCCTATTGGAGAACGATATACCGTGCATTCCATGCCTTGAAAACTGAGGAGTGACACCTACAAAGCAATATCTTGCTCCCTGCAAATAAATAGTCTACTCAGGGACAATATGTGAGAAGAACAACGGATACGAATAAAGTAAAATGGTGCCGTGCAGAGATGGTGTGGATTTGTGTTTGAAATTGACGTACGTGGGAGGTAGCATTGTCCATTATTTCATCAATAGCACTAAAAAATGGCTTCACAGGGTTCTAGTACCTTCAACTATGCAGCCGGACGTTCTCATAGGCATTGCGTATAATCTTATAATCGTATTGAAACTGCGAGGTATCAGTGTAAAGTTCTGATAATGTGGATGCCGTGCGCATGCATATAATATTGCGTTACTGTATTACATACTCAACAGTCTTCTTGAGGTGCACGATGTACTTCTTAGATATAACGGTGCATTAGTTTTTAAAAAAAGTTACCTGGCAAGAGTCCTGGCGTCCATTGCCGTCGCCCGCACACAGGTAAACGCTGGAAATGGGTACTTCTTTCTGGAAGGCTTTCTTGCACGATTCTTCATCCCATATCTTGATCTGCGCTTCTTTCAGCACGTCGCTCGACTCCCCGTCTGCGGTAAAATGGTGGATTAGGTTAGTCTGTTTAGTGTCCGTGTTTACAGTAGCAGGAAAGGCAGATAAATGTGCAAAGTAGTAACGTTGTATTCGCGACGTTGCGGCTTTGCTTCATTTGACAAATATATTTATTCTCGACGAATAGTGCGCGTGTCACTTTCCGGTTTATTACGTTTTCTTTACAATTATCATGTTTGGATGTGTCGTTTACCTTCGTCAGCTATTCACGTCGCGTGATACCAAATTTAGTATATGTAGAGCTAGCGAAACGGCCGCGAGCACGCTACGAGCGTGGTATGTTGCCATGTTCTTACATGACACACGTGTCGGGATTATCATGTTTGCACCGGTCATATATTTTGTCATCCATTGACGTCACGCAACAACAAATTTAGTATATGTGGAGCTAGCAAAAAGGCCGCGAGCGCATCATGAAAAGCCCAATGTACTCCAACGTACCGTTGACGTGCGCTCATTGATTGATTGATTTGTGGGGTTTAACGTCCCAAAACCACCATTTGATTATAAGAGACGCCGTAGTGGAGGGCTTCGAAAATTTCGACCACCTGGGATTCTTTAACGGCCACCCAAATCTGAGCGCACGGGCCTACAACATTTTGGCCTCCATCAAAACTGCAGCCGCCGCAGTCGAGATTTAATCCTGCGACCTGCTAGTCAGCAGCCGAGTACCTTAGCCACTAGACCAACGCGGCGGGGTGACGTGCGCTCACGCTGGGCACAGTGACGCTACGTTAGCGAAACGCGAGCACTCTACAGTCTGACGCCAGATGCGACCAGCGTCCGTCGGCACGGTCCAACGGCAACCGGTGCGAAATGTGCCATGCTGCGTTTCGCGCCGATGCATTACCCAGGTAACACTGCGTCTCCATCTTTTCGTGACGGAGGAACGCTTGATGCGCTGAAACGCGCATGCGTCAAAGCAACGCAGTAAGGCGCGCACCTGCGAGTACGTGGCAGGACCGGCGCCTGGCGTGGCAACGCCGGCGTGACGTGACGAAATTAACGCCGGTGAGCACGCGTACCGCGTCACATTGATATGTATGCGCGCCTTGAATGTGGCATGTAGTAATGTTCTCACATGACACGCATGTCATGATGATCATGTTTGCCTCATGCAGTCACATACATTCCTCATTAATTGGCGTCACGTAATACCAAATTTGGCGTATGTCAAGCTATAGCGAAACGGCCGCCAGCGCATCATCAGTGTGGCATGTCATGTTGTTGCATGACACGCATGTCGTGATTATCGTGTTTGTATGTGTCATTTACCTATGTCGTCCGTTCACGTCACGTAATACCGACTTTGGTACATGTGAAGCTAGCGAAACGACTGTGAGCGCATCATGAGCGTGGCTTGTAGTCATGTTGTTAGATGACACGCATCTCATGTTTATCATGTTTGCACCAGTATCATACCTTCGTCATCCATTCACGTACTGTAATACCAAATTTGGCATATGTAACGCTAGCAAAACTGCCACGAGCGCATCATGAGCATGGCATGTAGTTATGTTATTACATGACACATGTCATGATTTTCAAGTTAGGGTCAGTCACATGTGTTCGCCGCGCAATCATGGCATACCGCACCAGTTTTTCAACATGCCATGTGAACGAAACCACCGCAAGAGCTCCAGGGCCACGAAATGTAAATTATGACATTCAGGACATACATGTCATGATTTTCATGTTTTGACTAGCTAAATATGTTCTTCATACAGTCATGTTATGTCATACCAAGTTTGTAAATAGATACCCTTATTGAAACGGCCTGGAGAGCTATAAGTCGTAGGTGGCTAGATAGATAGATAGATAGATAGATAGATAGATAGATAGATAGATAGATAGATAGATAGATAGATAGATAGATAGATAGATAGATAGATAGACACACTCAAAGTCGCCGAAGCTTGCTAAGAAACCATTTAATGATAGTCTAGAATATAGACATTGTTTGTTTTGGAATGTTGCCTGAAAGTATTCTTGTGGCTGTTTTTAGTATGAAGAAACCAGAATCCCATTGATCATGTCTTACAGCTTCCGATAACAGTTGCGACGACAGGCGTCAGTGTACAAGTATTTTAGACGTAAACGGGGCGTATTGAGATCATTGTTATTGTGCAGATTTTCTTTATAAGCCTGTTGTTTTCAGTGACTGTTACGAAAGCGACTTACTGAATGCCGTGGTTCCCCATCCGGTGACGAACGCGTGGTATCCGTTAAGGTCCCGCGTCTTGAAGTCATCGCCATACGGCAAGCAGACTGGCCTCACAAACTTGTTGAACCTCACTGGACGTTCCATTGTGAGCACGGCCACGTCATTCTTGAAGGTGCGTGCCACGAAGTCGGCGTGCCGTTCAACCTTGGACACAGGGATGTCGATAGGGCTGACCGCGTCGTCGCTCCTCACCAGGTTGTGGTCGCCCAGTCGTACCGTGAACGAAGATGACGGCAGGCTGCAGGAGATATATATATGTCAGAACACAAGGACACACACAATCACATACGTCGAGCACAACATTAGCATCGTCTGTCTTTATGTAGGTAGGTGATCCGTCAGGCTGAGCCTGGTTGCCACCTTTTATAGCCTCTGTATATATAGTCTGAAGCTGAACTTCTAGGCTGGTGGAGGACAAAAACCTCCTTCCATGGGTCAGTGACCTCACTAGTGAGTCCACTCGCTCGGACACACTCAGACTCATCATTCTCACATACCCCGCCGCGGTGGTCTAGTAGATAAGGTACTCGGCTGCTGACCCGCAGGTCACGGGATCGAATCCCGGCTGCTGCTGCTGCATTTTCGATGGAGGTGAAAATGCTGAAGGCCCGTATGCTCAGCTTTGGGTGCATGTTAAAAAACCCCAGGTGGTCGAAATTTCCGAAGGCTTTCGCTATGGCATCTCTCATAATCATATGGTGGGGTTTGGGACGTCAAACCCCACACATCAATCAATCAATCAATCAATCGATCAATAAATTATTCTCACATACTTAATCGTATGTGCAATCAAACACGAAGGCGAAAGTATGCAAAATATTGTGCGGAAAGTGGCTGTAGGAAAAGGAAAGAAATAAGAGTAAGTATATTCTCCATAATACTGTAATATACTTAAGATGTTTAAAAATGTCGAACAATATTGTAGCTATTCTAATGAAATGTGAAAGGCAATAAGAATTCCTTTAGTGTTTTGAAGTTCATCAGCGCTTACTTCAACTATTCATCTAGGCAGGGGATCCCACACCTGGATAGACCAATGAAGAAAAGAAAAACTAAGTAGATCAATAAGGGTTAGAAATGGTTGCCAACATTTTTAATTATTGTCTCAGAGCTGGAAAGATAATCTGTACCCTCAAGATCGGTAATTTTCTACATCATTAAGCAGAAGTGGCGAAACCCTGCTTGCTGGTTTGGGTAGCATATTGTGCGTTCGGTTACGAACTTTTTCGAGGTGGTTGTGTTCTGTAGACGAACCAAACGGGCTTTAATGTTAAATGATAAAAAAACGATTGAACCCTTCGTCATAGGAATCAGTAACACGAAAGTAAAAAGTGTCCTTACAGAAGAAGTTGAATGTTTGCTGTACATTAAACAGAGCTTGTATTATGTCCATTATTGGTTGACAGCTTTAGTGTCATTCAGCGTAGATGAACCCGCTTTGGCGTTTAGTGATATATTACGATTCCGTAGACTGCGATGCATGATCAGTGATTAAGCAAACTCTTGTGGTAGCTGTACTAGCTGAAAATGTAATCGGAAAATGCACTGTGACAGCCGGGGAGCGTCATTGATTCGACGCAAAAATTCATCTAAGGTGGCCTACCCGCGACAGGTTAAAGAGTTATTGAACGTCACAGCCGGACTAGAGGGCAATGCAACGCGCCTCATGTGTCCCCTGTAGCCCGGTTGCAATTTTTCTCGGGGCGGGACTGCTGCTATTGTTAGGTGAGGCAGGCGCACGCTATGGCATAGCCTCGCGTAACGAAAGGCTATTTGGATATGGATAGATGCTATGAGTGAAGCCGACGCTATCCTTATGTCGCCACCACGCGGGTTGTTAAGGCGTCTTCAAAATTTCACTTCATCTATTGGAAACGCACCGAACGTGTCACGATATATTACTTCACGGTCATGATGCATTGCTTCACTTTACCGTTTCCAGACGCCGACAACACCCCGCCGAACAGGAGCACGGTGAGAGGAAAGAGGTAGATATAAAAGGTGGGCACGTTTGTAAGCCTACAGAGTGAGTGATAGAGATCAATAAAGAAAGTGTGTGACCACGGCGCAATGAATAGGGTCCCCAGCATCTTTTGTTGCGGACCAAGATGTCGTTGGTTCGACTATCGTTGACGGAACTTGTTTTTTTGCCATATGATCGTGTCTATGTTTTGATGTCGTTTCCGTGATGGAAAGACGTCACTGAAGTCTTGGTGGAACCCAGCATAAAACACTTTCGTGTTAAAAACAAAACAAAACATGAAACTGCGAGAATTCATTATGACTTGCCAGCACACATTGGAAGAGGAAAGCAGGAGCCGATATTGAACATGAGACAAAAATAACACAGCGTGAAGACGTTCGCAGATTCTTTAAGTACCAAGCTCTGGCGTGGTTGCTGAATCGGCTTTCTTTAGCACTACATCAGAAATTTTCAAGTGTATCGTATCGCAAAAGTCAGGGAATTTAGTCTGTACCAACGTAGGGACGTTCAGTGTCTACACAGTGAGTTCAGAGTAGATATACGCACTTCGTGGCTCGATGTCCGACGACGACGCAGTGTGCCGCGGTCACCACGTGCCTGTCCGTAACCAGGGCTCCACCACACGCAGCGCTGTTCACGCCACCGCTGTTGATGTAGATAGCCGCCTGCAAGTGAGCACCTCCCATTGAGGTCACACGCCCCGAGCATCGGACAAGAGACAAAAAGGCACTGCGTATATGTGTCGAAATCGCTGTGCGTGTCTGAAGTGGGTAATATTCAGATAGAAATAGACTGTGTCAATTTACTTATCGCGTCTCAAAACTGGTGAGCGGCTCTTGATACTGCGCAGTCATTGCGCGCTCGATGAGAGTGCTGGGCGTATAGAGCACACTAATTGGCAAAAATTTGTGCCCGTATTTTTTTTTTAACTCGTGTTATTTAGGTGGCTGAACGAAAATTATGAGAAATGTGGTTGCGCAGCCTCTCATCAAACCTGTATACAACATTTCGACGCTCTGAAAGCAAATCTGCCGAAAGCGCCTGTCTTCGTCAGTTCTTAAATAGTTGTCAGAAGGGCTGGCTTGCACGATTGCTGGGGTTATCTGAAGTTAGCCTGGCAATCCAGGCGTGTAATCACTCCACGAGCCTCTCTATTTCACGGCTCATAAATATCGTGTCAAAATCTTTGTAAACTGATAAGAGTGTATGCCGGTTTCGAGGACACCTATAGCAACAACCGTGACAAACACGTGGTTGATCCCTCTTCAAGTAATCGGTGTAGCACAAAAAAGAAACGCGCATTCACAGAGGAAGATAAGCGTTTTTTGTCCATTGTTTCACCACAAGGGCGAAGAATGGAATGGTATAGCAACAAATTGCGAAATCTTGCGAAGAACGACAACGAGTGGAAAACTCGCAGTGTACACCTCAAGGAGAAAGCACGCACAAAATCAGCATGCACAAGATGTGCGCGGACTAGCAAATATTACAGCTCGACACTTAACGCGGGCTATTAAGGAAGAAATATATACGAAACGAACGCCCGGGTGTGAGCATGACTTGACAAGAACTTTATTTAAGTCCCTAGGGAAAGATATTTAGGGGAGCCATAAGCCTCCGCAACTGTCACAGTTCTCACTTCATGTGTTTGAGCAGCGTGCTTCTTTCGTAGACGTAGTCGCGGCAGCGAGTGAAGTGACCTTCGTGCTCTGCCGAATCACGAGTCTGATAAGTGCGTTTGCAGGAGAGACTACGCTCCGCGGAGGCGGCATCCAAAGAAATGCTGGAGGCGACGACCTTGAGAGCGCGCCCAACGCGAGACGTTCTGCCTACTGATGACAAAAACACGCTGACGTTACGTGGCTCTCAGGGCTACAAAACGGTATATGGTGTATACAAATAGCTCGCCATTAGCACTTTCGACAGCGTACGCTCCATGGCGTAGTGGTTAGCACCACGCGCTGTGGATGAAGCGGTTTCTGGTTCGACGCTCCACGTAAGATCCTTGATTTCTAGGTTTTAGTGCGCAATTCTGTTGGAATATATTTTGCAACGTCATATCCGTGACGAAAATACGTCAGTGGAGCAGTGGTGGACCCTGGCATAAAAGACTTTTGTGTTAAAATGATGGTGATCCCTCCGTCATAGAAATCGGCATACCACGAAACGGAAACGTTCCTTTACAAAAGTAGTGCAGTGTTCATTGTGTTCTGATAAATTTTGTCTTCCACAATGAGCGCTGGCGTTTGGTGGCTATAGCACGTTTCACTTGGACGCATCTACGTTGACGTCTGGTTGCTCATGTATATCACAACGACTAGCGCCAGTGATCCAGATTAAACGTTTGCGGTAGCTGAAGTACCATGAACTCGGGCACAGCGTATGGTGAATTCCATGCAATGATGGCATCGACCAGCACATAATCAGTGGCACTCAATATGCGCTCACGGAAAGTCTCATCATTCAAGGAGAGAAACGGCAAGGAGCGCGCTCTCCAGCAAGTAGGTAACCGACACTTCTCATGCATACACTATCGTACAGCGCTTCAGAAGCGCGAGAGATAGAGCTCATATCTTGAACCGTGAACGCGTGTAGGCCTCGCGCTGCTTCTTAGCGTCTCTCACTCCAACAAAGCATGCATTCAGCCTTATTTGAAACGAAGTGGAGTGTAAAGCTTCCGCTTTGCTGAGACTGCCGAAGCGTGTTCTGTCTGCCCTCATTAATAGCACAATACAGTACTCGGAGACGGTGACACCACCCCGGGCCAACGAAGGTCAGTGTGAAAAGAAGATATAAAAGACATAGGTAAGGTACGTTTGTAGGGCCACATGCATGAGGGTTTGTGGCGCAGTGATCAGAGCGCCCGACTCCCATCGTCGTGGACCGAGAGGTCATGTGTTCAACCTCTAAGTCATGCAAATTAACAAATGTTTTTCTGTTATGTCTCTTTATCTCAACTGTTCGTGTCCTTTTCACCAACGTCACTTCCGGGACGGAAATGATGTCAGTGAAGTCTTTGTGAACCCCGGCATAAAAACGTTTTGTGTTAGGAAAAGAAGAGCGTATAGCTGTTTTGCATAGAGGTTAGGAAGTATTGTACTCACCATCCAAGGCCATGCACCTGGTTCTGACTCGCGGCCTCCAACGATACGGCTCACACTGACATTCGTCATGCCACATGCTGCAAAAGAAATATGCATGAATGCCGCAGAATAAAATAAGCAATCATGAATAATCACGGCGCAGAAATTGATAATTTCATGCTTGGAACTGATAGACACAGAGATAGCAAATTATGAAGAAGTTGAGTGTTGAGAATATTACTGCTATGGTTGGTGTTACTGTTTGGCGAACTGATTTGTCAAGAAAAATTTTGCTATATAAACAATTTTGTATTTGATTTGAAGCCATTAAAGTTGTATTCGTGATCGCTGAAAACGAGGCTAGGACGACAAGAGCACGATCAATGACGCGAGCTGTGGATGGTTGCTGTGTGTCAAGGGAATTGCTCCTGGCTGGCCGTGTCATCTCACACAAGCTTTAACAAAATGATTTCTGTGAGTCTATTTGTTGCTCTAATTTTATTTTTTAAGTCTTACCTACTTCAACGTGAGAGCTAGTATACGACCTGCGTGAATATTGCCAATGTCAACGCTCTGCTGGACAAAAATAGCGAGGCAGTTATAGATGATAACGTATACTGTTCTTTTTTCAGTTTCAAAAGCCTGTCGCTATAGATACAGTGCTACGCGTTGTGATAAATACATTCAGAAATTCTCTTCATGTATCAAGTCTAAAGTTTAGCGTTGGGATTGTCCATGGATCCAGCGATCAAGCCTTGGTGGTCGGTCAGGCCTATGTTGCATGGAGGGGAAGAAGACGGCTTAGATGCAGGCCTTCGCAAGTTCACATCTATAGTATGTCGCAGCCATATTGCGTATTTGGGCGCAGAAAAATGGGCACGATGTGCCATGTGGGCCGCGGTATAGTGTTGCACCCACGGGGAGAAGCCTCGCGTCTGCATACCTCATGGGGCAATAGGCTCGTCTACTGTTTTACCCTGGCCGTCAGAGTTTCGTACATCGAAAGTCTGTAACATCACTAAGCTATATACAAACAATACTCACCAGCGGGTAAGAAGCGCGGGTAGTTGGCAATCCTGGGTCCTTCGACGAGGTTGTCCCTGGGCGGTTGGGTCGGAGGCCTAACTGGAGGCCTTGTCGGAGGCCTTGTCGGAGGCCTAGTTGGAGGCCTAGTTTGAGGCCGGGTAGGAGGCCGGGTTTGAGGTCGAGTGGGAGGTCGAGTCTGTGGACGAGTCGGTGGGCGTGTCGGAGGCCTCTGCTCTCCGCCGCCCGGACAACAGAGCAAGGGCACGTTTCGCGAGAACCCGCAGATGTAGCGTCGCAGGAAGTTGTAGTCTCGCACTGATTGAAGCGCTGGACACCTGGCCAGTTCGAGGCAGCTGCCTGGCTCGTTGAAAGGCGTACGGCAGCCGTCGTCGTCGGGAAACTCGAACGAGAATGCTGCGCGAAACAAGTTCAGCGCGGTTGAACTTCATGGTCTGCAAGGCCGTTGTGAAAATATCGTGGGACATGGCTGTTTGAGTGGCAATATCATTGGGCATAACGTACAGTAGACCTTTTACGTGACCTTCAGAGTTAAGCTCTGTCAGTGTTACTAATGTAACGTTGATGCACGTTGCGCAATATCTGCTTGACAAGTGAGTGATTTGGAGTCATTTTTCGGTCGTTATTACCACGAATATTTGCAGTCTTAGGTGACAATTGTGGTACATGTTAATAGTCGAAGCACATACGTTTCAGTTAGAGGCAGTCTGTACATCAGGAAAGCTTCACTTTTTTACTACAGTGCGTCTGTCATGAGAAGTTCATCATAATCGAATGTGGCACTCAATAAGATAATTTCCCTATCAGTCGTGTATCTTGACCCAGTAGTTAGCAGGAAGAAGAGAACATCGCCACTACGATTAGCCTTGTCGAGCTTGCAAATAAAGTGACTCACAGTAACCCACTCGATAACCGAGGCATAACAGTTTACTGAAAGCCGTTCATCTAGATTGAAAATGACAGTGTCCTGTTCGATGCCGATTCTTATCTAAAAGAAGCGCTCTTGAAGTGTCAAACAAACGGAAGTTATCATCAGAGACAGCGGCTTCAATATCTCATATGTAAGCGCATACATCAATCTCGACAGCTCGACAGATTCTAAGAAAATTTTTGTTCGTTATGTGTAGATTACCCTATTGCTTGAGAAAACGTTGCCCCCTGTTGCGTGTAAACTGCGTGGTAGACGTATTTTGTGTGGCTAGCGCGTATTTTCACGAGAGCTATGTACTGTTTGTGCAACACTCAGGACGCCGTATATGTGTTGCATCGCTTTTTTCTTTCTGTGTTGCATCGCATTCGCGAACGCAAAGGAGGTTGAGTTCCTTTTATGCCTTGCAACGCAAGCGCATCGCAACTACCACGAAAGCTCACATCAAGTTCGCCCCCGTATGACGAACAATGGCGCGTAAGCCTAACAAAGGCAGTAAACGCACTTACCACCTTGCGCTTCGACAAATCCGCGCAGGAAAATTGCGCACAAAGTGAAGAGGACCAGCAAAATGCCCGTTGAACCCATGTTGTTCTCTCTAAGTACGCTTTGTTACGGTTCAGCCACGAAGGGGGCCGATCAATCGTCAGTCTGGATTCTTTCTTGCTATCTTCCTGATGTCCTGCATAAAACAAAAAAAGAAAAAAAAGGCTGAATAAAAGGAAGAAAAAATAAATCCTAGTCAGACTAAGTTCAAGTTCTACATAAGCTTTTTAACGCAAGTAGTATCACAAATATGGTAGACATACGTATACGCTGGTAATGCGAAGCAATCTCGCCCACTATGTACTTGTCTAATAGAGCAAGTTTGTCTTGCGAAAGGTATAACGTCTTGCTGAGTTCCCACCACTGATGCTATTTTTTGTTTTAGACACAGATGCCAAGAAAGTGCGGAGCACGTCTTTGGTGTTTTGATTATCATGGCGTACTGAAACGCTAAGTCACGGAGTTGCAGCCTCTTTAGAGCAGCTTAGTGTTCGGCTGCTATAGATGTGGTAGCTTATTTTGTAGGCATGCCCTCATATCGGGAAGACGATAAATGCGCGTATTCCACGCGCTGCTTGAATTTAAGACTGCACAGCGCACGTCCTGTAAAAGATGCAGTTATGTATTGGTCGTGTACAATTCTATAAAGTCATCCGTCTTCGTAAACGACTGACTTGAACGACTTATCCGCTATGTAGAGTCATGGACAGCGCCAACTGAGCTCCATCAGCAGCCGACTCCTTCCTGTAGGAGACCTACGGAAAGCTTTCAGCGCATCCGATCTCGTAGGCTGTTAAAAACAGCCTTGGGTGGGGAAAGCCTTCGCGGTGCATGTCCCGCCCTGAAGGCTTTGCATGCATGATCAACCGAGAAAAATAAAAATACCAGGGAGCAAATGGTTTTCGCCTTGCAGTCGTCTTAGGATGCATGTAGAATTCTGTAAGTTTTATTGGAGCTCACGAGGCTATGCAGAGCCTTCGGAATCGGCACTTCACTCTCCAAGTGACGATGCTGGTTGGTGACGTCATCCAGTGGCATAATAGAGATGGCGTGATGACGTAGTGGCGATGTCACAAATTAGGGGGTCATCTGACGTTATGCTGACGTCATAAGTTGACATCACAATGCCCCCCCCCCCCCTTTCGTGTGGGCACGGGCGGCCACTTTTCACGCTTGGTGAGATGTCTAGTTTTTTTTTTTTTCGGTCTCTCTTTCTTGCCTGGGCCAATATGAACTTCATTTACGTTTTTGTGGAATTGGGCTATTCGTTACCTGCGGCCCGCAACAAGCTCTCGTAACATTGTCAGTGCATGCACTACCGGTTTATCACAAAAGCGTTGATTGGCTTTGCTCCGATAGCTGCGTTAGTTTTGGCTCATCCCTACCGCTTTATTCCATTCCTACATCTTGCCTTGTAGCCTTGGCTCCTATAAACTCCGACGCATCTATCGCATCATTTATGCCTATGGCATTCCTCAGTACGGATAGAAGTAAAGCACTAAGGCCGCCATGCAACGCGTTTCTTTTAGAAATTGGCACGCAATATCCCGCTTAAGCAAGTTGCGCCCTTCTTCTTTCCGCTTTGGTGTCTGTCGTGCGCAATCGATCATTGTGCACTATACAGCGAGACAGGTCAAGAATATTTCCCGCTTTCTAGTCATCAGTTTCAGTGTACAGAGCCAGATATCGGGCGAGTCACAAATGGTTGTCTCAATGGCATGAGATCACCATTATATTTTCGTAATATAGGTGCAGTTTGAGCTAAGTAGCGGTCATTTGCAATGAAGCCGTGTTTGTTGGAAATCGCACCAGAAACGCATAATTTTTTTTCTTTATAATGGACCTGCAGCATGGCAACTGTGCGACGCGTGTTTTGTTGCTTTCAATTCTACTTTCTAGTCATTATAGTAACGGACATTTTATCAGAAGCACTCTTTGAACAGTCCGTGAAGGTCTCCACTTTAAAGCGAATACTAGTTCTTGCCACAGAAGGCATTACATATTCACGTCTCTTGTTGGTGTTCTGTCACGAGTTCAACAGCAATATGAGATAGCGAGAAAAGAGATGAAAAGACAGGTTTATTAGAAGGTGTACATATCAGTCCCTCTATATACCGTACTTTGCACTTCGAATGAGGTGTTTAAATGGAAGTGTTGAGCATAAAAAGACACAATTGTGAAAAAACGAAACAAACGTTTGAGTCAAAAGCAAAGAGTAGTAAAATTTTCTACATGTTTTGGCTGACACAAACATAACAGCAGTGCCATCGTGTCTCGATGTGCACCTCCTCTTCTTTTTTCATGCAGAACTGTAGGAAATGAGTTATCTGCATTTATTTTTCACTTTGAAGGGCTGTACTCGATGCTAACCGCACTAGCAGTGCGTACAAGATGTATTGCTTTACCATCGAAGGGTAAAGTGGGGGCAGAAGCTGAAGCAAAACTTTGTGTAGAAGATAATGTGATAGATTTGTGAGACCCCATATTTTGCGAGAACTGATAATGTGAGACCCCATATTTCGCGAGAACTGATGTCTTTATGTATTCTATCTTTCCGCGGACAGTGTCTGATTGGAACAAATTATGTGATCCCCATTCATAGTGAATTAAGTAGAGTGAATTGCATTATGTATGGTACATGCTATTCTGTGTTTTTTATGTGATGTGCTTCTTCCTGCTTCGGACCATTTATGGTTTGCAGTATGTACTAAATAAAAAATAAATTAAGTAACGGAAACCAAAAATTACGGAGATCACGATGCAGTGCGGGGTCTGGACGTTGCGCCGGAGAGCACTCCTAACTTCTCTGCGCCTTTCCTTTCGTTCGTGTTGTCTGCGTCTCGGTGCCCTTACACAGTTCTTAATAATGTCATATTACATACTGTAGCTCGGACCCGTACTCTACAATACATAACCTTTACATGGCCGCGATGTGTTTCAACTACGGATCGAACATGTAGACGCCGTGCTTCGCGGGCGCGAGTTACCCCCGGGGTTGCTTCACTCGCCTCTGTCAACAAACGTGCGTCCTGAAAAGGATGCGCCCCTGAGAAAGGGTTGGTGGCGTCAGAGGGAGGCGAGGGTAAACAGGCTTGGCCGGAGCCTAAGTTTAAAAGCTGACCTCAGGCATCGCTGCCGTGGGGTGACGTCAAAAGAAAAAAAAAGAAACACGCACTTCCCCTTTCTTCATCGGCAAATTTTGAGTACATGCGCGACCACGGCGTCAGCTGGCTGTGGACGGGACCGGTTTTCCGGTGGTCGAGTGCGCCGTTGGCGCTAGCGCCAAACAAGCGCCCCGCTGCAGACCACGATGCAAGAAGAAGCATGGACCCACAGCATTGCCGGCTGGCGTTGCGCGGAAAAGAAAAGCCGCCGCGCGTAACAGCTACATTTCGGCAGCAGGGCGTGAAAGAGTGAACAATGCGACGGCATTGGCGACGGCATCCTCCCCGTCACAAACTCCGGTGCATTGTCGCACTTGCTGCGTTGCTGCACGACTAACTGGCAACGTGATCGACCGATCAACGCCAGTACAGTATCTCCCCTAAGGAAACTACAGAAAGCCGCTGGTTAGCGGACGGAGCCTTAGGTCTTTAGCACGGCGTCTATCGAATTGCAGTTCCCTTCGGAGAACATTCGCAGCAAATGCGGATTGTGAAGCGCTTGAAAACTTCTACCTCTTTTCACACAGAAACTTTTTACTTAAAATTATGATTTTTGGCTAACAAGTACCATCATATGATATGTGAAACGCCGAAATGACCTACTCAGGCTTAATTTCCAGAACGTAGGGTTCATTAGCGCATTTGCGAAATTTACTTTAAAATTCGTTCCTGTGTTTCGCCCCAGTCGAGATTCACCCGTGATCACTGCGATTCGAACCGGAGTCATCGTGCTTAGCAGCGCCAATGTTGATACAGTGCGTGAGGACGCAAATATGTCACCAGAAATGGCGCTTACCTAATCTATAAGGAAAAAAAACATAAATGTCAATAAGTGAAATAAGTTGCTACAGAAAATCAGTACGGTTCTCTGTTATGTACGTTCACAATAATGATGACAAAAAAAAAAAACTGCAAGAGGTTATATATACCTATATACCTGCATGGTGCTTTCCTCATCAGACATTATTGCCTAAAAAACGTCTACTCTTTTCTTTTGAACCAAGAGGACAATAACTACTCTGGCAGTATTCCAAGGATGGTTGTCGAGACGCGGACAATGCCAGCCGGACAAAGTATTTCACAACACATGCGTACGCTTACGATACCAATGGTTCAGAGGTGCATCAACAATGTACTCAACTTGCCGCGGCAGGCGTCCATGTTGGTTAGAACCGGGAGAATACATGAACGACCGTTTCTCCTACTCGACGCAGCATAGTAACCGACGCTTCGCGCGATATTGCTCTCCTACTTGCGAAAGCAGAGCGTTCCAGCTTTGTGTGATAAGCTCGTTCCACCAAAGTATATGCTTAACTTTCCAAGAAGCAGGCTAGGTTTCTGATGCATTGACTAGTTTTCCTAACGTAAATTGACGCACTTATCAAATTATTTTTCATCTGTGGATTCTGCACCGTAGTACGTTTTCATGAAAAAGCAGCTTTCGTAGCAACCGTAAGAGCATTTTTTATGAGTGATCATCAGCTCATGTAATTAGTTACCGAAGTTTTATAACGTAGCAGAATGTCATGCAGAGTTTGCTGTAGCTAACGGAACGGTAAGCACAAATTTGAAGTGAGTGAAAGATTTAGGAAATGAAAGATATTGAAATAGTCCCCCGCTGCAGTCTGTGTCTGTCTCCTTTTTGTGTTGCATTTATGTTGTGCTGGCAAAAATGAACCAGAAACTTTCAGGAAGATTTACAGACTTGTCAGAATAGGATCCAATTGAGCTTCTGGCAAGTCTTTGAAACACGTGAGCTAACCTGGCAAATATGCATCAACTTGAGGTGGGCACGTGAAGTCTTAATGTCTTTACTGTTTTGTCTACGGGACCTTTAAGCCTGCTCACTGCCTCATACAGAAGGTTCTGATATCAACGAACTTCTCTGAACATCGTTTACATGAAATCATAGCTGAAAGTGCAGAACGCGTTCAAGCTTTGGTAATTTCAAGTGTTTGCTTAACCCTGACACATTTCTTTCGTATGTCTCATAGTCAACTACCACTCGGCAAAGGGGTCTTATAACTACAATCTTTACTCTTCGTGTTAAGCCTTGAACATGAAATAAAAGGTGAACATGTACACATTCATTAGACCATGGCGTGGAGTGTCAGCACTACTACAGTGTCTAAGACGGATGTAGCGCGTCCTTTGAGTACCGGTATTCCCCCGTGCTACGGATAAGACGGAAGCGCCGCCATGGTGCGAGCGAAAGACATCATTACGGCGTCCCATTTTCAGCTCCAGCGTAAGCTTCTTGCTCGAAAAAGCTGAAAGAGGAGGTGCTGGCATTACCAAAGGAACAACGAAGCAGGCATTTCTTGGGATTTCTCCAGGATTGGGGCAATGCCATTTCTCTTCACAAGGACGACCAGGCGCGAGAAGATGTAGAAGCTACGTCGATTGCGCCGAACGTCTACCTCACCCGCGTAGGCGTATAAGACGAATTGAAGTGGATCGACGCGTGAGCGTGTACACCACGCACTCTGTGTGACGAGGTCAAGATTTGCCTCGTACGGGCGAAAGCGAATGCCGACTACATGACTTGGTTCGAAACGCAGATGGGCTCGATCATGTATGTACGTGCCTTCCTTGTTGCCCGAGACGCCATGCTTTCTTATTTCTCTGACAAGCAGCTGTTTCATAGGAAAAAAAAAAAGAAGCGTCGATGCCCCTCGTTGCGGTGTGAAATGAAGGTACCAGGCAGGGACCGTTCCACAGAACATTGCTTTTGCAAAGGCGTTTCACCAGTGTGGAATTTTATGCTGTAATCCGTTTCACACGTCTTCCCAGAAGCAAGGTCTTGTTGAAAGAAACGCAGTGGTGCTCGTAGATCTACAAATGTGAATGAGGAAGCGTGAGTTATAGAAATGAATTATGCTGATTGCTAAAAAAGTCACAATACTGCTGTCATCAGCGGAACAAACATCGCTTAGACAAGTAAACAAAAAGGGTGCATGCAGCCAGAACACGAAACGGGTTCAATCCGCTGGCAAACTGAATGAGGCTTGCGGGGCTACAGCTGTCGCCTTTCTGACACACACACGTCACTCGGGCAATGGCGGCCGTAACAATGGCGGCCGTGAAGCGACACCAGGAGGACAGCCCTCAAATCGCTCGAGGGTCAAGGCCAGACGATTTGGATGCTTTACTTGTTTAGCAAGGCTCGCCTTCTTGTCAAGGACAAAACATTTCGGTCACGCCCTGATGATGGGAAGTTTTTCCGAAAGACAGTTGTTTCTTCACCCGGTGACGAAGACAGTTTCCTCAGGACCAGCAAGCTATGGGAGTCGTTATAGGCCGTTTTGCAATGTACGTTACTGACACGAAGTGGTGATAAACTGACAGATGAAACAATTTTTTTTCTTGTATATCATGCAGCCTCTGCAGATGTGTCTCACTTGAAGATGCTAAGATGCCCAATAGCTCTTGGCGTTGGGTGTGTCGCACATCATCTTAAAGAAGGCGCAACTTGGTGCGTCACGCTCGGCTCTTGCATCTTGTATCTGCCGGAGTTCTGAGAATTGATGTCGTTCATCTCTGGCGGGCCGTGTGAGCGTGGCGCAAAGGACTTCACTTGAACCTTCCTTACAGTAATGCACGTCGTTGACACGTTGGATCAAGCGCTTCCAAGGTAAAGCGTCGACCAGTACAAACAGGATACTTCTTTCGGTACAAGGACGGCAACTATCAACCAAGTGCACAAACAGGTGTTACATGCCAAGCACCGAAGAGAAAAACTTAGAAGAAGCTTCGTTTGATTGATATGTGAAGTTTAACGTCCCACAACCACCGTATGATTATGAGAGACGCCGTAGTGGAGGGATCCGAAAATTTCGACCACCTTGGGTGAACACATGTTAAGGATTGCCCTTACGGCAGCTGATTAATTAGTATTTCATGAACAAACGAGCGTTAAGTAAACAGCTTTCTGACAATAACAAGCACAATGTAAGATCGCACAACTATTGAGGCGAGAACAAACACTACCAGTCTGTCATTTGGTTATCTTGTTGAAAGAAGAAAACCTCTGAACTTGTAGCTGATCTGCAAAGTTTCATTGTAAGACTGTACTACATTACTGCGGTGTTTTTTTTTCCTTTAGAGAAGTTTACGCAGCGGAACATGGTCGTTAAAGTTTCATACGCGAGACGGCCTAGTTGTCTGATTCGGAGCTGCGTGCGTCTGCAGCGTACACTGCTATTTCAATCTGTCTCAAACTATTACAAGGCGTCATTGTGAAATGTGACAGTGTCGTGCTAGATTTCTGGCAAAATTGTTCGCTTCTTTGATGGATACCCTGCTTTGGCAACACAAATCCCGTAGTGTGATGCAGAGCCATGGATCTATGAAAAAGTTATATTCTAAATGCGATGAGGAATTCGTAAACTGGGGTAGGGTGCTGGAGTCGACACTTCGACAAGTGGACTTGCCTTTTTCAAGGCTCGCAAGTTTACATCTACCTCTTGCCTTTCAATTCGATGTGCCAGTCATATTTACAACTCGTAGTAAATATTTCAGCATTCTTACTTTTCGGATACCTTCATGATGTCACGCGATAATAATAAAAAATGTGAAATCGCTGGGAACAGTAGGGTGGCAAACATTTTAAGGGAACCACGAAA